GTTTGATTGTTGAGCATCCAATGTCATTGCCCCACACAGGTAGTGTCTTTTTTAAATTTAAGAAGTAATTTCTCCTTTTTAAAAATATTGTATTTTTATTTTGTGTGTCTGAGTGTATTGCCTGCTTGTAAGTGCACCCAAGTTGTGCAGTGCCCATGAAGGTCAGAAGAGGGTGTCAGATCCCCTGGAATTGGAGTTATAGATGGTTGTTAGTTGCTATGTGGGTGTTACGAATCAAACCCAGGTCCTCTGCAAGAGCAGTCAGTGCTCTGAACCACTGAGCCATCTCTCCAGCCCTTCTCCTTCCTTTTTATATTCATCTACAGTTTATGACGGTCCAGTCCTCTCAATAGTCTTGTACATCCACCCCTACGCAATTCTTATGACAAAAGATGATTTGTAATTTCTGTAAGCTATGTCCCTGTCCCCGACGGCTTTCGACTCGGGAGGACAAGTCAGGATCCTTCTGCAGCAGTTTATTTGAAGACTGAAGACCAAAGACCCCGAGAAGTGGGAGAGCTGTTGCTTATATATGCCCCAAAGGTCCCATTTATAATGTATAAGAAGCGGATTGGTTGCTGGAGATCATAAGAAGCGGATTGGTTGCTGGAGATCACGCCACGGGAGGAGGCGGGGGAAAGCAGGCTCTTGTGCACGCCCCTTATGGGTGTGGCAGGATGTTTACTTTTAAGAAGGTCCGGATACCGGCGCCATCTTGTAATGGCGGCGGAGGCTGTGGCTCTCCACATGTCCCCATTATACTTACATTGTTAGAGATCTACTAAAAACAATGCCTTGGGCTTAAGAAAAGATGTCCTCAATTTGTTAAGGAAATATTATCCCTACCAAATAACTTAACTATGCTTTCATTTCAAAATCACAAATAAAATAGTACCCTGTAGACACTAGAAAACATTAGCACAAGAAATTCCATCCCAGTGGCCAGACTCATCAGAGCGTGCCTGTCTAGTTCTTCCTTTTAATGACCTCTTTGGTGTTACCCAGTCTGGATCAAGGCTGATAACTTTGTTTCTTTCATTTGTTTCTCTAAAGTTATATACTCACTTGAAATTGATTGTTTAACAGTTATTGTTATGGCTACTATTGGATCTGAAAATACATGTGCTTGATATCCTTTGTAAGTTTTTCCTTCCTAGTGAAGGGCTTAATTCTTCTTCATATCATGGCATTAAGTACGTTTAATGTGCTCAATTCCACGACTTTTTAAAAAATATTTTTATTGTGTATATGGGTGCATTGCCTGCATGTAGGCAAGTGCACCCATCTGCAATGCCTGAGGAGGTCAGAAGAGGGTGTAGGAGCCCCTGGAACTGGAGTTACAGATGGTTCTTAACCACCATGGGGGTGCTGGGAATTGAGCCCAGGTCCTCTGCAAGAGCAGTCAGTGCTCTTAACCACTGAGCCATCTCTCCAGCCCCATGACTGTTTTTTAAAACTGTTCATCTTAGCAGAGAAAATTATATTTATGTAGGCAATAAAATCATTGTCATAGTTCTATCCCCTTGCATCTTAAACCTTCGTAAAAGAGAAGGGAGCAAGTGCTGGTAGTAGAGGGACTATGAGAAGAGGCAAGTATTGCTAGTGGTAGAAGACAAGCGTGTGGGTTATCTACTCTGTTAAAGTTCAGATCTGTCTCTTAACCTGGTTTTTCAGTCTTGGTTTCCTAATGGCCACAATGAGGGAATACTTAACTCAAGGACATGCATTATAAAAAAGATTTGCATCCAGTATATAATGTGGTCCTTGATAATAAACATGCCACAAATGGTAGGCAGTAACCTTTTCTCATTTTCAGTTCAGCAACTGTTTATTACTACTTATTATAAATATAAAAATAATAGCAATAGTTTCCATGTGCTTGGTTATAGATACTCAGGAAGCTTGAGATCTAGCAGAGATGTACATATGCAAACAATTCCAAAATAATGCAGTGAATACCATAAGGGAGATGTACAAGGAAACATAGGCTGCCAGGAAAGGCTTCTCTGGGTGCCTGAGCCCAGCACACTTACTCCTAGGAAGCTGGAGTTATGTAAGCTGCTATTACTAGGTGTGGTTGAAACGTGTCTACCAAAGGTTCATGGGCTAGATTCTGGGTCCCAAGTATAGAAGTGTCGAAATAAAGCCTAGTAAAAGGCAGTGAGGTCACCGGGAATGCCACTCTTGAAAGGGATTAATATAGTTATCTTGGGCTTTTAGTTTGTTCCCACAAGGGTGAATTGTTATATATAAAAGAAAAAAGACATATGGCTATGTCTTGCCTGCTATGTAATCTCTATAAATGCTTCCACCATGAAGTCCTGGCCAGAGGCTTTCAGCCTCCAGAACTGTGAACTAAATAACCTCTATAGTAACCTGCACCAGGAATTTTCTTATAGCAACATAAAATGCCTAAAATATACGTATAAGTGCTGGACTTTATCTCAAAGACTGTGGAAGCCATTTGAAGATGTAAAGAGGTTGTGACTTGGTGTGTTTGTAAGAAACACCTCTTTAGGGTTATTGTGAGGAACAGAACAGAAGGTGAGAGTGGAGATGGGAAAATTTAGGAGGGTATTCCAGTCACCTAGGAGGAGAGACTATGACAGTCTAAACTAAAGTTACACGTAGAAGAGTGTTGGAGGAAGGGAAGCCAATGAATAGAACTGAAAAAAAATTTAATATAAAAATTTAGATAGAAACCTAGGATGTGACTGAAGGTAAGATGTGGAACATAGCATGGTTTGATAGAAGGATCCCTAAAGAGAATGGGCACAAACTTGGATGTCTGTGTGTGCTTTATGTAGGTACACATGTATGTGTGTGCAGGAGTGTGAACACACATGTGGTGCGTGTGTACACCAGAGGTCAACCTCTGGTGTAGTTTCTCAGGTGTCACCTTCCTTGCCTTATGAAGTAGGGGCTCTTATTGGCCTGGAACTTGTGGTTTTAGGCTAGGCCCAAAGGTCAGTGAGCTCCAGGGATCTCCCTGGCCTCGGTTCTTCAGCATTGGGATTATAAGCATGCACCACCATGTTCAGCTTTTTTACATGGGATCTAGGGATCACACTCAGGTCCTGATGCTTACATAGCCAGCACTTTTACTAAATGAGCCATTTCCCCAACCCCATGTTTGGATGTTTTGAATAGGAAGAGTCAAGTATAAATGCCTCAAAGTGAGGGCAAAGACCAAGGAGAGAGCATAGAGACATGCCCACCAAGGAGCATGGGAAAACACTGGCATTCAGAGGGCAAGCATTCAGAGGAGAAAGTAGACAGTCTCGAGACAAAAAAGGGAGCAGAAAAAAAGCAGGATGATGTGAACTAGGAGAGAGGAGTATCAGGGAACACTTGTGATTGAGGGGAGGGTTGTCCATGTAAGTGATGGTGACTTTGCACTCAATCAAGTATTAGCAGTGACACTCAAAGAAACATTGATGTTGTGGTGGACTTAGAAGCCAGATCCTACCTAGTAAGGACAGCATGATAGAAAAACTGGAAAGTATCAAGTGTAGATTCTTTTAGGCTCACTGATGAGGGAAAGAGGGCGAAAGGGGTTTTTTAAATCAGAAGGGAGGAGAAGATGGTAATTGACGCAGTGAGACATTAGAAGAACATGAGAAATCACAGGAGATGAAGCATGTCTTTCCTGGGAACTGTAAGGAAGGTGGTGAGCATGGGCATGTTAGCTGGTATATTCTGCAGGCAAAGGAGGTTGGGGGAAAAATGGGAAGGAATTGGAGGATTTTGTCATGAAGAATGGATTATTTGGACAAGTGAAAAGAAAAAAGGCAAACCATTGCAGCTACCACAAAGCAATTCACAAAACCCTGTACTTTTTCTTTTCTTTTGGCTTTTTGAGACAGGATCTCCCTATAGCCCCAGCTTGCCTGGAACTCGCTATGTAGACCAGGCTGGCCTTGAACCCACAGAGATCCACCTGCCTTTGCCTCCTAAGTGCTGGGATTAAAGGCATGCGCTACCACGCTCTGCACCCCATACTTTCTATAACTGAGTAATAACCAGTAATAGATTGGAAGGGGGCATGTAGATCTACATGTACAAAAACACACAAGTCATTATTTTTCATGCTAAATTTTTATTCAATGTATGCAACTGCATAAGTATAAATATTTGTTCAATATACAACAATTATGACATTCATGGGGAAATTTCTTAGAGAAAATAAGACTGCAAACACTTTATTGCACAGATCCTAACAAACTTAAGCTGGTAAGTCTACAGCTGGAGTACTACCCAAAGCACATCTTACAACCACACAGAGACTGACCCAATAGGACACAGTTAGGAGATTTCTACCAGCTGACTGGAGAGGTCCACAACAACAAACGGGTATCACATGTATACAACCTTAAGTACTCTTTACTCCTCCAAAATGCAAAAACATATTTGGCAAAATGATAATACACTATACAAAATATACATAAAAAATATCCTTTGTAAACAAGCAGCGAGTTGTGCTTCAAAGAAAAGTGGACAGTTAAAAAGCAAAGGCTGTAAACCATGAACTACCTCCGGGACAAACCTGTCTTGATGTCTGAGTGTAGAAGGATTGGATTATTATAATTGCCAAACAGATATGCATTATAAGTTTTGAGACCATTTTTGAGACCCATTTCAGAAGGATTGGATTATTATAATTGCCAAACAGATATGCATTATAAGTTTTGAGACCATTTTTGAGACCCATTTCAGTTCTTGTAAGAACATTCATTTTACAGTTTCACAAGGCAGCGATAGGGAATGGCTAAAACTGCACGGGGGGAGAGGTGGGCAAAGAGGACATTCTTCCTCTACTGACTTGTTTTACAACAAAGACAACCAAGCCATCAGCTAAGCGATGTCCTTGCGTTTGGAGTGCTTACAGCTTTGTTAGATGACTTGCAATCCACAAGGCTGTGTGATGATGCTGTGTTTACGTAAACAATGTACAGCATGAGGGTACCAAGATACCCCTGAGGGGACCATTTTTGAGACCCATTTCAGAAGGATTGGATTATTATAATTGCCAAACAGATATGCATTATAAGTTTTGAGACCATTTTTGAGACCCATTTCAGTTCTTGTAAGAACATTCATTTTACAGTTTCACAAGGCAGCGATAGGGAATGGCTAAAACTGCACGGGGGGAGAGGTGGGCAAAGAGGACATTCTTCCTCTACTGACTTGTTTTACAACAAAGACAACCAAGCCGTCAGCTAAGTGATGTCCTTGCGTTTGGAGTGCTTACAGCTTTGTTAGATGATTTGCAATCCACAGGGCGGTGCGATGATGCTGTGTTTACGTAAACAATGTACAGCATGAGGGTACCAAGATACCCCTGAGGGGGTTGGTGTCAGATTAGTTATTTATTGGTAATTTTTTTTCTCTTATGAAACAAAGTCTTGCTATGGATCCCAAGCATCTTATAAAAGCTTATCTGCATTGTGGCTTAGTGCCTTGTACTTACGTCAGCAAGTGCCATCTTACAGTTCAAAACAAGCCACCAAAAAAAAAAAAAAAAGAAAAAGAAAAAGAAAACCTGAAACAACAAAATAAACCCTCAGCAATAAAAATGAAAAAATGATTTGACAAATTCTACATATTTCATGGCATACAAAATTTAAATAAGGCTTAGCAAAAGTAAAAAGGATGGTCACATTCAAGCACCAAATAGCTCCTGTCTCTTTATTACAAAATGCTGCTCTTTATTAATACAGTTTTTTGCATACAAATAAAGAGATCATGTTATGAAATGTAAGGAGCTACTCGATGCACCAGAAATGAATGTGAAACCCAAGAACTTGCTAAAAACAGCAAGCTTCATCTACAACATAAGGCCCCTGCTATGTATTAAAATGTATCTGATGTCCTGATTATTCTTTAATATATATGCTATGATGCCCAAATCCACCCCCTCCTTTTCCTCAACAAAAGCAAATTAAAACCTTTTCCAATGCCTATCACTCAACCTAAGTACTAGCAGATTTGCGTGCAACCAGAGATTTTCCTTTTGATTCACGGGCAGAGCTGGTGCGGAACTACCACAACATGTGCTTCTTGGACTCACAGCATAAAGGCGTGAGGGTGAGAGCTTGGAAAGAAGGGGAGAAAGAACAGAAGGCTGAGGTGTTTCTAGTCCCTGCTCCACCTCAGGTAAAGAGCAGACATGTGACCCAGAGGCAAGGGTAACTGCCCTTCTGGCCACTTGAACTAGGTACCTAGTTCCACTTGTCCTGGCCATTCCCGGTAAAAGATTCCAAATGCAGCAATTGGAGCAGTTTTTGCTTGAGATTTGGAAATACAGGTAGCTAGATTCAGTATTATCAGAAATTCTGGTTTAAAAATACACATAAAAACTCACAATCTACTCTATTTAGGGCTTTCTTTCATCTTTAACTCTACTTACAAAAATGGAGCCTTGAAATATTCGCAAACCACAGACCAAAACACGTAGGTGGATGTGTACATACGTGAATATGAATGGATCTATATTTTCACACACACCCAGCTCTGACCACTTTGCTTCATGACTACGTTATGGTAAGTGGTAAAGCAAATATCTTCGTTTAGAAAAGCTGCAGTAAACAAGGCAGTCAGCAGCAAGGTACAGACTCTACATCCGGAACCAAACACGTTGCTAGGTATGTACAGAGAGACTCTCCTCCTTACCAACCCTCCGCTGGGAAAGGCAGGTTTTGTATAAACACTATCTGGCAGCAGTTTTACCGGTTACAATTGGGAAGGCATCTGGAAGAAAGTTCCCTCTTTCTGTCTCTCCTCCACCTCAGGGAGGCGCCAAGCTCTCCCTGCAGGACATTCCCACACAGTGCTGGTTTGGAAATGTGGCAAAGACCCAGTTACATACTCAGGCCGGGTCCCACAGCCCTGCCACCACGTGTTAAGAGGCCTTTTTGTGAGGGCTGCTGCGCAAGCTCTCCTTGCCCCTCCTCTGTCGCACCACAAAGTCCTTCTCGGAGGGAAGTTGGAGGGGACGGTCTGTGGTTGGAGTTGGGGATGCTCTGGTCCCTTCCCTGCCCACGGTCTGTTTCCTTGCTGGAGCAGGCTGGGCAAGCTCTCTCCCTTTGGGCTCTCCCAGGGTGGCAGTTACTGAGAGCGCCCTGTCCCGGTGGCCTGCTGTGCTGGGCACCTGTGGGTCTAGGAGGTGTGACTCCAGGGTAGTGGTAGAGAGGCGGAAGGAAGGCAGAGAGTCACTTTTTGTCATTTGGGTTCTGCCATCTCCCCCAGACTGGGATTTCCTATGCTCACGGTTGCTTGACACCAGGGATTCTGGGGTGCCGCCATTGGCCTTGGCAGATAAGGGGCTGCTGCCGGCTGAGGTGACTTCTCGTACCCCCAAGTGAGTCTCAGGAAAGCTGGCTGAGTAGCTCAGAGACTTCTCTGGGATGGCAGCAGAGCGGAGAGAACTCTGCCCAGTGGCCGAGGGTGAGCGCTTCATAGAGCTGGGCTTGCCTGTTTCAGCCAGTGGCTTCTGGGGACCAGGCCCTTTCCCCTTGGATTCTGGGAAGCCCTTCCCCATGCCCAGGGCTGGCCTCTCTGGGCCCTTCTGTCGGGTCTCACCATGGAGGAGGGAAGGGCCTGCCTCAAGCTTGCAGCCTTCTGAGGCTGGCCCATAAAGCGTTTCAGTACCCTTCTTCCCCTCTGACTTCCTGTCCCCAGTGGAGGCCTGCTGACTTGGGCTTCTGTCTGTCTGTCTGGAGAGAGAGGGGCAGTCTTTCACAGTGGATGGTTTGGGATGCTTTGGAGACACACTTTGTTTTTCACTGGCAGTCAGAGGCTTCTGGTCTGCCTCGTTGAAGCCTAGGTGTCCCTGTCTGGAAGGATGCTTCTCCAGCACTTCTGGGGACCCTCCACTGGTGGCTTTCAGTTTGGCATCCAGAGGACCCTCTTCAACATGGAGTGTGATGGTGACCCTACCCTCTCCCCGACCAAGCACATCACTTGCTATGCCCTGGGTGGTCAGGATGGCAGGGAACATCTCCAATGGGCCCTTACTGTTGCCCTGCCCGTCTTTGCAAGAGCCACTGAGAGGTTGAGTGACAGACTCTTTACCCTTTGCAGCTCCAGCACTGAGTTTCTGGGAGGAGGGGGAGGAGGAGGAAGAGGAAGAGGAGAAGGACCTGTCTGAGTGCTTGGGCTTTGGAGGGTTGAAGTCAGGGCCAGGCCGACACTTTTGGTTGCTGCTCTCGCTGTACCCAGCAGAGGTGGTGGCAATGGTGATAGGTGTGGTGACTGAAGCAGCAGATCTGGGAGTGTCCTGGAGGTTGGTGCTAGGTTCTGCGGCAGCAGCTTTGGTTCCCAGCTCCTTGTTAGAAGTGTGGCTTGGAGAACTGCAATGGTGCCAAGAGGCCAGGCTGGGCAGTTCTTTGGTGGTCAGAGGTTGTTGAGAGCCAGGGCTGCCATGCCTCTGGAGAGGTTGTTCCTTCCTGTCAGGCTCTCTGGGAGCCTGTTTCTGCAAAGGGAAGGTAGTAAGCTTTTCGCTCGTCTCGCTCTCAATGCCTGGTGGCTGTGGAGGGCGTCTGGCAGCAGGCCCTTCGGCTTTGGGTTCTATGCCTTTTTTTAACCTGCCTACCTCTTTCTCATGAAGAATCCCAGCTGAGTGCCAGGAGTCCTCCCTGGCCAGGGTCTTCGCCTCATCTGGTCCATCTCTGTTGTGGTTTGATTTTGCACAAGCTCCCCTCGCTTTCTCCATGTTCTGGGTCTGCTTGTAGAAATCAGGGTGGGTCCTTCCCCCAGAAGGGAGGTTTTTGGAATTTTCACTGGGTTTAAAGGTCTCTGCAGGACACAGCTCCATGCAGGGGTCTTTGTGTATATCAGCCCTCATGGTAGATCGTTCACTTTTGGTTGTGGAAGGGCCCTTTCCAGAGGGTTCTTTCAGGCATGGCTTTTCCTTTGAGGCGGGCCCTTCTGGTGGCAAGGGGGCACATGCACACAGCCTGGCTGGGTCAAGACTGTGCAGGGTCTGCCCTGGGCCAGGGAGGACACTGGTGTCAACAGAGCGATTTTGGTGTTTGCTGGGACCACCTTCTTTCTGCTGGAGATTGCTTTCTGTGATAGTCGTTGTGCTCCTGGCAGAAGGGTGGGCCACTTTCTTGTCCTGCTTTGACTTTGTATCTGACATGGGAGCTACTGGTGAGTCCTGTGGACCCCGGCTAGGGGGCAGGAACCGAGGCTCCAGCATGTGGGATTTATTCACCTTTAAGCTGGCAGGGGAAGGCTCTCTCAGGCTGATGGGGTCACTCTTTTTTCCACTGCTGCTGGGGACACCTGTTGGCAATAGGGGCCCCATGTTGATGACAGGGCTGGGGCTCTGTGCAGGCTCTGGGGAAGGCAGCTCTGTCTTGGAGGCATGAGGCCCAGACAGGAGAGCAATGTCCAGTGTACCCTCAATTGGCTTCAGGCATGAAACTGACCTTCCCTCCAGTTTATACTCAGAGGGGCTCTTCCTGACAGGGGACTCAGGAGCCACTAAGCCTGGCTTCTCTCCTCCGCTGTCCACCCGGCCAGCTAAAGCTTTGAGAGGAACAAAGGAGACAGAGCTCATCTGAGCTGTGTGGTTACTACTGACGAACACCCGGCTCTCAGATGCTGGTGGGGCCTCCTGCTGCCCAGGCATAGGCCTGTTGGGGTGTCCTGGCAGGCATTCATGAGCACCAGATGTTATCTTGGGTTTCAGGATGGAACAGTGGCTATCATCTTTGTCTTCTAGTGGCATCTTCTTTCGGAGGTAATCAATATTGGCCAGCTTGCTGTCTAGTTTCTCATTTCGAAGGAACTCTTTAGCCTGCGAGGCCTTCTCTGTATAGTCACCCTTTCCAGGAGTGGGCCTGTCAGGGATGTGGCACACACTATCTTGGAGGGTGCTAGAAGCAGTGGCCCGTTTCCAGTCATTTATAGATTGGCTGTGTTCTCCAGGTGCTGGGCTGCATACTGTCCCATCTGAGGTTACCCCCTCACTGGCCCGCACACTGGCCTGCTTGTGAAGAGCATCCTTCAGAAGGCTTCCCAGAGACGGGGCCTCTGTTGCTTTGTTTTCAAAATGACTTGACCTCTCTAATCCCTTGGGGTACACTTTCTTCTCTCTCTCTTCCAGCCTGAAGAGAGCGTGGCTTTCCGAATCACTGCTGAGGCTGTGGGGTTTTGGGTGGGATTCATGCTTCTCTGGTTTCTTCACTACAACCTTGGCCTTCAGCTTGTCCCGGTCCAGGTCATCCACAGACTCCTGCCTGCCCAGCTTCCTGGACACAGGGCGTTTCAGGCAGCCTTGCTCCACCGGCCTGGCCCGACTGAGGGAAGGAGCATCACACACATTCTCCTCAAGGCTCTGCAGTGTCGCCTCTCTCTGGGGTTCTCGCTGCACCTCCTCCTGCGTCACCTCCAGGCTGTGCTTGCGGGAGCACAGGTGCTTCTTGTCACTGCTGTAGGAGGGTGACAGCTTTTCCTCAGACTGCACTCGCTTGAGCAGCGGGGAGCGGGGAGGCTCTGCGCTTTTGGGCCTCACGATGTGTCTGACGATTGTGGGAGGGGAGTGCATCTTGCTAGGAAATGCCTGAGTGATCTTCGCATTGCCCAGTGAGTGTCCCAGCAGTGGAGATGGTGAACGCTGAGGGGAGGTGGGTTGAGGGGTCGGAGAGGGAGTCCGGGCTAGTGGTGAAAGTGGGATGCTACCAGCTGACTTCCGCCTTCCAGAGCGATATCGCTGCCCACTGAGCTTGGGGGCCAGGCCATGGAGGGTGCTGGGCCTGATGTGCCCTGACCCTGCTGGAGAATTGGGGGCGCTTGAACTTGGGGAGCTGCTCTGGGAAGAATTTGTGCCTGTGGGTAGAAAACATAGGGCTGTAAGTATCCAGATCTTCTTTTTTTCCCTCCCCTTCCTTCCTACCTAGACTGAGCTAGGGGCTGGAAAAGATGAACTTCCCACCTCAGGAGCTCAGGATAGCCTTCTCACACAAGCCTCCCCAGAACAAGGTCAGCCCTACCACCTGTTTTATTCTAATGGTCAGAAACACCCCAGTCTGTGTCCTCCCTGTGAGTGAGCGCTGCCATGTACCAAATCACCCTGCTTTCCTCTACCTTGCCTGAGTTCCTGCTTTCCCAGCCAGGAGACCCACTCACCTGATGGAAAGTCAGGGGTGGAGCGATAGCTGGGTGTCGGAGATCTTGGGGACAAGCTGTGAGTGGGGGAACCCGGGAGGCTCTCTCCTGATGACAGGGATCTGTTCAAGCAGGAGAAACTTCGGCTGGTATGGAGCAAAGGAGATGGCTGCTTGGCTAGCTTTTTGAAAAGAGATCTCCTCCTAGAATGGGGATAGGAACACATGGATCAGAGCCTACTTCCAGAACCCACTCTTCATGATATCCACATCTTCAGTTCAACCACTGTGTCAGACAGTGACATGACAGCCCACCTACTAAAGGGTGGCACGTCACTTCTATACTGAAACTTTCTCATGACTGAGAATAGTCCATGTGTATGAAGGATCTCTTAATTCCAAACAGCAAGAACTAGGAAAGTAGGAAAATTATAAAATATTAAAAACATTTACTTCTGACCACATACCCCATATGTATTGACATAATTTAATCAAAAGATAATAGTTTCTCTTTCAACGACTTTTTTTCATTGTCTTCTAATATTTTGTATTGTCTTGGATATACACTTTCATGGTGAGATTCTGGGCAGAGGCTTTATCTATAAGGGCTGTTGCTGTGCTTGTTCCACAGTGGGCTTTTGAAAATGCCTGACAGTATAGGCTGTGTGTTTACCTGGAAAGCACGGAGCAAGGTGAAACGGAGACTGTTGTATCAGTGAGCAGCAGACACAAATGTGCATTTAATGATCAATGAACATGAGATAAAAGAAAAAAGTACAGCTGCCCAAGACTTATCAGTGAGGGTGACTGTCTGCAGTTCTTTTACCACAGAGACCTCGGCCAGCCCTGGTAAGCTTAAACAGACAGTTGTAACACTGCTACTTCTTAAAACAATTCTCCTATGTAATCTAAAGCATAATCAAATTATAAAGTACAACTAAATAGAAAAGACAGATCTTAGAACTTGTATATGTAGTTTTAGTGGGGGTGTGATAAGTGCTCTGGGGATAAAATGTCAGATGGCTCTACAGACTTAAAATGAAACCCTCTGCATTCTTTCCAGTCTCCTGAAAACCACCTTCTACTCTTATGCCTGTTTCTGCTCCCATTTCTCTATCTGTTGCTAATTCATATACTTACACTGTTATTTCAGTTGTAGAAATTGTATGATGGTACCCTACCATGGTAAGTGAGAATCTGATACTGGTGGTTCAGGCCTGTAATCCCAACTAATCGGGAAACTGAGGTGAGAGGCTCACAAGTTCGAGGCCTGTCTAGGTTATAGAGTAAATTTAAAACCAGTCTGGGAAACTGAGACTCGACTTCTGAATAGATATAGAGGGAGGTGGGTGGGTGGGCAGGTAGGTAGCTAGGAGGGCTTGGGCTATCACTTACTATAGAACACTTGCCTACATGCATGAGGCCGGGCCCAATCCCCAGTACTTAAATCCAAGCAACAAAAATGGAAACACCTGGAAACATCATATAATTGCTTTCTACTTTCTGATACCATATGCTGTACCTTTCCCATTACTCCTAAGATTGCTAAACAACAACAACAAATTAGCTACTGAAAATGGCTTCTGTATTTTATATGAAAAGCAGCTACAGGAAGTGCAGCTTTGTTCTCCTGCTTGTATAGCTTCATTTTTCCTGAAGTTAATAAATAATTTCCTTTTCATTAGCTCATTTTTCTACATTTATATCAAGTTGTAGCATGATGAGACTCTTAGGTTTAAATAATTGGAGAGCAGCTAAGAGAGCTCACAGGAGCCACACCCAGACGACTGGGAAAGAAAGACTCCTTCCAGCACATGGGCTGTACCGGCTTTAGTCTTCACAGAGCACTGAGCTGCTGGGTGTGCAGTGTGCACCATCTCGTTAGAGTTCAGTCAGTCAAAGCTTTTATTTCTAGACTTATTGGAATGCTTTAAAGATGCAGTTATTTTGGACTATGTGGCAGTAAAAGAATTCCTAGAGAATGTAAAATACATTTTTAAATGCAGGTTTTATATAGACACTGCCTGATGGTCAAGTTTGTCAAATTTAACTTTCCTGAAATGATATCTAAAAGCTTAACCAACCAACCAACCCAGCAGAGCTGTCAAGATGGTTCAGCAGGTAAAGGCACTTGCCACAGAAGCCTGAGTTCAATTCTTTCAATGTACATGGTGGAAGGAGAGAACAGATTCTGAAAGTTGTTCTCTGATTACCACACATGAACCATGGCACATGTCCACCCACATACATACACATAGATCATATAGACAATATGATGGTACAAGTGCCTTTAATCCCAGCTCTCAGGAGGCAAATGTAGGTGGATCTCTGTGAGATTGAGGCCAGCCTGGTCTACTGACTTCTAGGCATGCTAGGACTAGGGAGACCCCGTCAAAAAAAAAAGAAATTAAAACTCCAAAACCAGCAAAGGACTTTGCATGGTACCCACATGTGATAAAGATTAACAGAAATCTTTTTACAGTGAAATAAGTACTTCTTTTCGCATGTTATATATGCAATGTTGTTATGAACATGAACTTCAATGTATAAATATGCAAACAGTCATAAAATTTCTCTTTTTTTCTTTTTATTTTATGTGTATGAGTGTTATGCCTGCATGTATGTAAGTGCACCCATGTTGTGCAATACCTGGGGACTGGGGAGGACAGAAGAGGGTGTCAGGTCCCCTGGAACTGGGGTTACAGATGGTTGTTAGCTGCTATGTGGGTGCTGTGAATCAAACCTGGGTCCTCTACAAGAGCAGTCAGTGCTCTTAACCGCTGAGCCATCTTTCCAACGACCCAAAAATTTCTTATAAATACATACAAGTATGTCTTATATGTGTTTAATAAGGAATAAGTTTTATCTAACACAGAGTATAACAAACTTGCATAGAGGACCAATTGAACTTACCTTTCTAGACTTTCCTTCTTCTTTGACTTCTTGCTCCGCCTCACCATCCGACTCTTATAGCTGTTTCTCCTGGCTGGTCCTGTTTTGATAGATGTGTTTTCAAATGGGGTAGTAGTGATCGACACCTTATTTCCACTCTGTAAAAAACAATGGAGTGGTATTAAAGGGAAGAGCTGTGAGAAAAGCAAGATCAGAACTGAGATAAGAGATCCAAAGATAAATAAAATAAATAGGTGCGTCATGTAGGAGCCTTCTATTTCTAAATAAGTTTTAATCAATGAAGTCCTAACAATTCAAAAGAAATAGAAGGCAAAGTGGCAAGTGTCCTCATGAGTGGGCTGTGGAGTCTATGTGAGTTCAAATCCAAGCTCCATAACTGTAGCAATCTGCTTGCCCTACTGAGGCTTCACATACACGCACTAGGTAATAGTATAATCCTGCTAGGCTCACCAAGGACTCAGCAGAGGAGTAAATGAGAGTGTTTGTAAAGCCTTTAGCACCAAGTGTGACACATATAAAGGACTCTATAAATAACAGCTATCTTCATCCATATGTATTAAATATAAATGTGCCCAGTGGCTGTCTGGTCTTGCTTGATATAGTCTCCTTTCTCTGTTTTGTGTTTTTCCTTTGACCTAGAAATCATAGAGCTACAAAACTGAATGGGACTTTCATTTGTAATGTTAGAAGGTTCCTTTCTTATTGCCAGAAAACCTGTCAGCTTGCAGTATGTGCCAACCCGTAGGAAAGCTTTCTTTAACCAGGTCATGCACAGTGAGATAATTCCTGGTGAGTTTCTGTGTCCTTTCATTTGATCTTGGGATGGAGTAGGTACGGAGTCAGCAGTAAGGCAAAGAGGGCAGGTAGACAGGTAGGCAGAAACTCTGGCGTCCATGGACAACTCCTGAATTTCATAATGGCCAAAGGAGAAACATTCTTTCAAGGTCAGAGGTGGCTATGAGAGACTTGAAAGTACAATATAAGGAGAAGGGACTTTGTAAAGGCCTTTGCCTGAAAGACATACAGAAGCTCAGTCCTAAGTGGTACCAAGTGATTGAAATGTAGAAATGGGATTAGAAAAGCAGATCACTATTTTACTGATATCTACTTTCTTTCCTCCTGATTTGGAAGTATTCCATGCTGTTATAAGAAGGAAACCATAAAGCATAAATAGAAATCATTGAAATCTACCATTCAGATACCACTCATAATATTTCAGCATATTTCTTGGTTTTTTTGTTTGTTTGTTTTCAAATGTGTATTAGTGTATTGCCTGCATGTAGGTAAGTGCACCTATGTCATGCAATGGCCACGGAGGTCAGAAGAGGGCATCAGATCCCCTGGAACTGGAGTTAAGGATGGTTGTTAGCCACCATGTGGGTGCTGGAATTGATACCACTCATAATATTTCAGCATATTTCTTGGTTTTTTTGTTTGTTTGTTTTCAAATGTGTATTAGTGTATTGCCTGCATGTAGGTAAGTGCACCTATGTCATGCAATGGCCCCGGAGGTCAGAAGAGGGCATCCGATCCCCTGGAACTGGAGTTAAGGATGGTTGTTAGCCACCATGTGGGTGCTGGAAT